AAAAAGTCATAAAAAAAACTTTTTTTTTTTAGGTTTTAAGTAATCTCTACACCCAATCTGGGGCTCAAAGTCACAGTCCTGAAATCAAGAGTCCCATGCTCCACTAACTGAGCCAGCCAGGTGTCCCAAGATTCTCTGTTTTTATCTGAAACTACATGACACTGAAATAGCACCAATTACTTCATGTTAACCAAAGCTTTGATGGACAGTTATATGTGACTGATTAAAAAAAGGGAAAACAGGCGCACCTGGGTGGCTCAGTTGGTTAAGAATCCAACTTCAGCTCAAGCCCTGATCTCACAGTTCATGAGTTCCAGCCCCTCATCAGGCTCTGTTCTGACACTGCAGAGCCTGTGTAGGCTTCTCTTCCTCTCTCTCAAAATAAATAAACTTAGGGGCGCCTGGGTGGCTTAGTCGGTTGAGCGTCCGACTTTCGCTTGGGTCATGATCTCGCGATTCGTGGGTTCGAGCCCCGCGTCAGGCTCTGTGCTGACTGCCAGCTCAGAGCCTGAAGCCTGTTTCAGTCTGTGACTCCCTCTCTCTCTGACCCTCCCCTGCTCACGCTGTCTCTCTCTCTCTCCTAGAAATAAATAAAACATTAAAAAAAAATTTTTTTTTAATAAATAAATAAACTTAAAAAAGGGGGGGTGCCTGTCTGTGTCAGTAGAGCATATGACTCTTGATCTTGGCTGGGGTCTTGAGTATAAGAGTCTCAAGCCTCACACTGGGCATACAGATTACTTTAAAAAAGTGGGGGAATAAATTACTATTAAATAAGACTTGTTTTTAAGACTAAATCTATGAGATACACAGAGGTACATAAAAATGAAAAGTAACTGACCTATTCTTTTGTCACCCCATTGCCACAACAAGTGTTATACTTGTAAGTGCTTAAAGCATATTCATTAGTCTGATTATTTTCAGCTTTCTTAAGCCCTCTCTTTCCTTTGCTTTAATTAAAATACTGATCTTTTCTTTCCATGCAAATAAGATTGCAGGAGTTTCCCCTTCAATGTCAAATAAAATCTTAAGAATAAGATAAACAAGAATCACATTGCACTTCTTGGAGCTGGACTAGAAAGGTTTTTAGTGTTCTGTAAGTAAACTCTAAAATCACAGTAAGTTGCCTATTTTAGGGGACCCTACATACTACTAATATCTTTAGAGCGTAAATTGTCCTTAATTGCAACCTTACCCAGACGACAAAAGTAGAAGCAGAACCAAGTTTGCAGAATGACTACCAACTAAGAGTGTAAACTGATTTGCAATCTATCAATGGCCCCTGTGTTTTGAAAATGTCACTGGCATGTTTAAAGGAGGCCTCAGGGCTCTGAAGTCTGGCCCAAACCATCTATAAATCACTACTCACAACAAACCTTTATAATATTTTGGGTGTTTAAAAAGTATTAAGTAGGCAGATTAAAAAACAGTCACACTTCATTTTACAGACTGCTGGTACCAGAGGCTATTGGTTACAGACTCTTGGAATGTTTCTCTTCCTCTTCTCAAAATGTGAAGTGACTATTAAGATTAGAGCCCTGGGGAACTTCTGAATCCAGCCAAGATATGGTAACAAGGACCATATTTACTCTCCCACCTGAACCAACAATAACAACAAAAAGAGCTAGACAAAATATATAAAATGACCACTTTCAAGATACTGGATAACAGGCAATGAAGGAAAATGATGCCTCAGAGGGGAAATGAACAAGATTTACCCCAGCTTATTACCTTCAGAGAACTTACAGACCACGGCAATAAAAGAGGAACTGCAGAAGCTGTAAGCCCAAGGAACACAAGGCAGCTAGAGTTCACAGCCCGATACGGGAGGTAAGATAACAACACAGAGACTCAGAGATCTGCAGAGGGTCTTCCTTGATAATTCAACAGCGCTGATCAGTGCATACCTGTACCCAAGGTCAAGAAAAGAACAAATCATCTCAGCATCAGAAGGAAAAGTACTGGGCATTCACAGAGGGGCAGGAATAGTGGCTATTCACACTAGGCCAACTAGAAACCTCCCAATTCAATGAGGTAGAGTACTTGGAAGGCTCTTGCCTTAGTACTGGAGAATAATTAACCCTAGATTAAATGCTGCTAAATTAGCCTTATATTAAATGCTGCCAAAAAATAAAATAAAAAATAAAATCCAAAAGGATCAAACTATTTTAAAGTAATTTAACTGCATCTCAAATAAAACTTCAGATGTTTATAGAAAATACAAAAATGTTCAGCATTCAACAAATTGAAATTCACATATTCCATTTAATCAGATATTACAAGGCATGCCAAGAAACAAAATTATGACCCATAACTAAGAGAAAAATCAATCACTAAAACTAACCAACAACTGACATAGATGTTAGAATTAGTAGACAAGAACATTAAAAGTTAGAGTTATATTATATGGTAATATATTGAAAAAATTAAGTAGAGACAAGGAAGTTATAAAAATTTTCAAAATCTGACTTCTAGAGATGAAAATAACAATCTCTGAAGTGAAAAATACACTGGATGGGATTAATATAAGAATAGTTCTTGCAGAACAAATGATTAGTGAACTTGAAGACACAAAATATGAAATTTCTAAAATGAATTGTAGAGAGAAAAAAGGATTTAAAAAGATAAGGGAATGCCTGGGTGGCTCATCGGTTGAGTGTCTGACTCTTGACTTCAGCTCAGGTCATGATCCCAAGGTCATGGAATTGAGCCCTGTGTCAGGCTCCATGTTGAGCACTAAGCCTGCTTGGTATTCTCTCCCTCTTTCCCTCTACCCCAGTCCCCCACTTGTGTGTGCTTGTGTACTCTCTCTCTCAAAATAAAAAAATGTTTCTCTCTCTCAAAATAAAAAAATGTTTTTAAATAAAAAAGAAAAGAGAATCAATAAGCTATGTGAAACCTTTAAGCAGCCTAATATACTTACTTGTAGTTGGAGACGATAAAGAACGGGTTACGGTAGGGGATCAAAATATGACTGGTATTTTCAAAATTTGATGAAAAGTATAAACACACAGATATGACAAACTCAATGAACCTAAATAACAGAAACATGAAGAAAACTACACCAAGGTCTTTCATAATATAATTACTAAAAGCCAGTGATAAAGCAAAATCTTAACAGTAGTCGGGGAAAAAAAAGACATGCTATATATGGAGGAACAAGAGATGACAAATATCTTCTCAGAAACAATGCAAGAAAAAGAAAGTGGACCAACATCTTTGAAGTACAGACAAAAAGCTGTAAACCTAGAATTCTATACCCAGCAAAAAATATCATTCAAAACTCAAGAGAATATAAAGATTTTTTTTCAGATGCACAGAAGCCGAAAGACCATAACCAGAAGACCTGCCCTATAAGAAATGTTAAAGGAAGTCCCTCTGATAGAAAATGACTCATATTTCTGGAAATATAGATGCACACTAGGAATGAAGAACACTAGAAATAATAACAACAGAGGTGTTTTTTTGTTGTTGTTTTTTTTTTTACAATTTGAACCTTTTAAAAAGATAACAAATGTTTAAACAACAATAGTAATCATTTATTGTGGGTTTTCTGGCCTATTAGTAAGAAAAATGTATAACAATAGCATAAAGGTTGTGAGGAAAGACATGGAAATATATTACTGAAAAGTGTATTCTATAATTAAGTGTAAGCATCCTATAAGTGATATGGCATAATTCACTTGAAGATAGACTGTAATACATTAAAGATGTATACTTAAACCCTAAAATAGCCATTAAAATAAAGGGAGAAAAGGAGTTATAACTAAAAATATATAACTTATAACTATAAGCCAACAAAGGAGGAAAAAAATGGAAGCATAATCCTCAATCCAAGATAAGGTAGAATAATAGGAAAAATATAGAGAACTGATAAGACAAATAGAAAACAAACAAGATGACAGACATAAACTTAACTTATATCAACAATAACATTAAATGCAATGGTCAAAACAACACAATTAAAATTTGTCTTACTGGATGAATAAAATAAGACCCAACTATATTTCACCTACAAAAAACCTATACTTCAAATAATGAGACACAAATAAGGTTAAAAGTAAAAGGATGAAAAAGAAACACCATGCTAACACTACTCAAAAGAAAGCTGGAGCAGCTCTAATAATATCACATAAAGTAGACTTCAGAGCAAATAATATTACCAGGGAACGAGAAGGCCATTTCATAATTATGAAGGGGCTGATTCATCTTGAGGACATAAAAGTCCTAAATATTTACGCACCTAATAAAAGCTTCAAAATAAATGACAAAAAAAAAAAAAAAAAAAGAAACAACTTCAAGGAAAAATAGGCATATCCTTTTTTTAGAGGTTTTAAAAAATCTTCATGATAATAGCACAAGTAGAGAGAAAATCAGCAAGGATACTGGCTTAGTCAATTTGGATTGCCATAACAAAATACCACAGACTGTGTAGCTTATAAACAACTGAAATTTAATTCTCATGGGCCCTGGACTGGAGACTGGAAGTCTGCGATCAGGGTGCCAGCATGGTTGAATGAGAGCCTTCTTCATGGTCTATGGCCAGCACCTTCTGTGTCCTTGTCTGATAGAGGGGATCTTTTTTGTAAGAGTACTACTCCTTTTTTTTTTTTTTTTTACGTTTATTTACTTAATTTTGAGAGAGGTGGGGATAGAAAAAGAGAGAAGGTAAGAGGCAGAGTGAGAGAAAATCCCAAGCAGGCTCCACACTGTCAGCATGGAGCTCGACTCAGGGCTCAAACTCACAAACCTTAAGATCATGACCTGGGCCCCAAAACAGGAGTTGGACGCTTAACCAACTGAGCTATTCAGGCCCCCCTAGAGTACTAATCCTATTCATGGGGGCTCCCAAAGGCCCCACCTACTAATACCATCATCACCTTTGGAGGTTAAGATTTCAACATATGAATTTACGGGTAGACACAAACATATAGACAATAGAAGATAAAAAAGACCTAAATAACACTATTAACCATCTTAACCTAACTGACATCTATAGATCACTACAAGACACAAGAATATAATTCTTTTCAAGGGCACACAAGACATTTACCAAGATGGACCATACACTGGGCCATAAAATAAGTTTCAACAAATTTATAAGTATTTAAGGCATATAAAGTATGTTCTCTAACTACAATGAAATTAAATTAGAAATCATTAACAGAAAAACACCTGGAAAATCTCCAAATATTTGAAATCAAAATATACAATTCTAAATAACCCATGGGTAAAAAAAGAAACTAAAAGGAAAACTAGAAAATATTTTGCACTGAATGAAAATTAAAACACAATATGTCAAATTTGTAGATAGCACTAAAGACCGTAGGAAGTAATATCCATAATAAAAAGTTCTCAAATCAATGACCTCAGATTCTATTTTATTAGATTAAAAGATCAAAATAAACCAAAATAACGTAAAGAAAGAAAAATTGGATCAGAGTACATCCAATGACAGAGAAAAGAGAAAAATCAATGAAACCAAAAGTTGATCAAAAAAAAATTAGGGGCACCTGGGTGGCTCAGTTGGTCAAGCATCCGACTTCACCTCAGGTCATGATCTCACATTTCGTGGGTTCAAGCCCCACACCAGACTCTGTGCTAACAGCTGCCTCAGATTCTGTGCCTCCCTCTCTCTCTGCTCCTCTCCCCACTCACACTCTGTCTCTCTTTCAAAAATAAATAAATATTTTTTAAAAAGAAGAAGAAAATATCTTTTAAAAAACTCAAATTGCTAAACCAGACTAACCAGCGCGCACGTGCGCACGCGCACACACACACACACACACACACACACACACACACACACATGACTGAGAAAGGGGGTCAGGTGCCAGAGGATGCAGGCAGCCTCTAGGAACTGGAAAAGACAAGGAAAGGAATCCTCTCTTAAAGCCTCCAGAAAGTACACAGCCCTGCTGACTCCTTGAACTTAGCCCTCTGAGATCTCTGCTGGAGTTCTAAACACATAAGTGTAAGATAATAAAGTTGGTTGTTTTAAGCCACTAAGTTTGTGGTAATTTGTTATGGCAGCAATAGAAAACTAACACATGTGGAAGTCCCAAAAAGCTAGAAAAATCAAAAAATGATTTAAACACAACAAAGGCTTAAACTATGTGATATTCAGGATTTATAAAGCTATCATAATCTAGACAGCATGGTACTGTCATAAAGGTAGACAAATAGATCGTTAGAACAAAATACAGTAAGTAGAGATTTGTGATCTTAGAAAGAGAAATTGCCTGAAGTACCACTACCACTCAAAACAAGATAGAAGACTTAAATCTAGCTCTTGAACTTTAAGTCCTGAACTCTTTTCACTATAACTGGTTTTTCATCCAAGCTTCTGTCTTTGATTTTCATCCTCTGTACAGCTGACTACAATATACTTAACCTGAAGCCTGACCTATTTCCTAAGCTCTAGCTCCAAATTTTCAAGTACCTGCTAAATATCATCCATCTGAAAATAAATGAATGCATGGTTTTCTCTCCATGCTTGTTGTATTAATAGCACACGATTTATTCAGTTACCCATGTTCAAACTTTGGATTTCTCTTTGACTCCTCCCTAGATCTCCCTCCCTTTCCTTTCCTTTCTCAGAGCCTCTGATAATTTTGTTTTCTTAGGTTAACATCCTTCCTTTTGTCTACCTCCCATTTCTCAGAGGCTAACTCCTCATCACTCAGGTCTTGTTTAAATAGCTGTTCTTCATCAAGACCTTTCCTATCTAAAATAGCCATTCCTCTGTGATCTCTGTAATAGTAGCTTGTTCATTTTCTTAATACCACTGATCACAGTTTGCTCTTTAGTTCACTGTTTACTGTTCCCCTGTTCCTGCCCCATTAGAGTTCAAGGTTCATGAAAGCAAAATAACATATCCAACTTGCTCACTAGAGCATCCTCAGAG